GAATATGTATGATTTGATAAGTTGCTGTTATGTTTTGTTCATTCTTCCTTGGAAGATATTTGGGGGGGGCTGACAGACCGAGGGCGTTTCTTGTTATATTTGAACTGGTGTGTGTCAATGTGAAAAATGCTACTTATATAACAATGTACTTTAAATAGTGACTCTTCGGTCTGTGGAAATATTTTAATCCAATACATGTTGAGTAAATTTTAAAGCCATTGCAGAACATGAACTAAGATAGGTGGTGGTGATATTTTCCCATGTTTTTTGCTAGGTATCCTTTCCTTTTTTTCCAAGCTAAATCCAGGCAGAAAAAAAATTGACTGTTTTCTTCTTTCCTTTGAAAGTATTCACACTGTCACCAAATTCTGATAGTCACTGTATTAATTTTTATTATATAAAAGCATAATAATGCATATTCATCATTGTTTTTGAGAAAACTGCAATATCAAAACACCCTGATGCATAATGAATTTGTATAAAAAGCTCTTGAATTGAATTGAAAGAAAGGATGCTATAAGCATTTCCTGATAGTAAATGCAATTTCTTCTGGTCTCTCAGTATTGATCGTATGTGTTTTAATAGGTTTTTTTCAAGTAAAAACCAGTCTCATTTGCATGCAAATTATATAATGCTTCCAAATGATACATGTGGAGATCCTCCTCTGCCTGGTTTCCTCTGATTATTGATATCTGTTTAAGGCTTGTTTTTGTTCCCTGTGTTAGCAATGTAGTATTTATTGACATTTTGATGTAGGAAACCACAAAACATCCTATCCAGTTAGATTAATTTATTTCTATGGAAGTGCACAGGCAAAAAGATTCTATGAACAAAGGCAGGAACAGACATTTACCTCATTAAAAAATTCAGAAACATTCTAGTTTTAAACTTGCTTCCTCTGTGACGTCTGTAAGAAACTAGCCAACTGAGTCATCTTATTATTTCAACATCTACAAAAATTACTCCAGACTGTTAAGGTAGTTTGCATTATTCCATGCCCTGGAGTAACTTTGTAATTTTAATGAAGCCAGCCTCCCTTTAATTCTGATCCTTTCTCACGTACAACATGTGGTGTGTAGTTACCAGCATGCCAGGTCTGCATCTCATGTCTGTTTTATGTGCAGCCTACTACACCCTGGTTTTGTGAAATGAGAGGATCAATGCTTTATTTTTTAAAAAATGTGAATATTCTACTTTAAAAGTCACTGATAAATGTAATGTAATTAATACATGTTTTCAGCTTTAAAAAAAGAAGGCTATGTAATCACAACATGTTTGTGTAACTAAACATTTAAGATACTACACATATACTATAAGCTCTCAGTTATTACTGTTGTAACACAATGATTTGCAGTTTTGGAACACAGTTTTTATAACACCACTCAGTGTAACTTCCTAAACTTCACTGTATTTATCCGCCAGTTTTTGTCAAGCATTGCTAAACATCTTACTAATCCTGTTTGGTACGTTAGATAATAAATCAGCACAGTAAAGGCAGGGTAAGTGATTAAATAGAATGGAAGGACAAAGAGATGAGGCAACTCAGACCTGAGCACCTGAAGTCCTGCCCAGAGCCCAGTCTCCATGCTGCACTGTGTCCTGGCTACCAGGAATTTTGCAGATGGAAAATTGGTAAAATTGGGACAGGATGACTATTTGTTGGCAGACAGGGAAACCAAGTCAGCACTTAACCTCTGCTTCCGTTTCATCTTTAGAGGTGCCTGCTTTACTGGAGCACACTAGTAAAGCAGTGCAGAAGACTTGCCCTGCTGCTCCCAAATGCGATTGTCTTTTAATTTAGAAGTAAAAAATATTTCAGGTGTTAAGACTAGAAGTTACATACTCTTTGAAACAGTGTATCTAATACCTTAATATTTAGCATGGTAACATGCAGTATATATCTTTTGTCTCTCTCGTTTGAAGAGGATGCTGTTCCTTTTTCTCTCAGGTGCAAGCGCTACTAGTGGCAGCTCCAACAACTCACGATCATGACAGCAACATCTCAAAACTTCTGAAATCAGGTCCCTACCTTCGTATACTCCATCTCGTTTCCCCCAAAGTAAGAGTTCAGCAGCAGCTGGCCTTAGCCCTGTTGGGACTTCAGTTCCAGACTCCTCCTTATCACGATGGCATGGTGTTCTGAGACAGATTTTCATAGATATCCCCATAACAAACCACAATCTTCATCCTATACCCCCGGTGACCCTGGTCCTGTCTCTCTGAAGGCACTCACTGCTTTAACATATCCTGTCTTTCTGTAGCATACCTGTGCTCAAAGTTTGTTGTTTTGAGCTTGCAACACAAGTAAAATGTGCCAGCTGTGTTGATGTTGCTTGTATTGGCACAGCTCAAGTGTGTGAATATACTTTACAAATATATAATAAAATTAATTTTAAAGGGGAATATTTAATAGCTTTGCATTCTAGATGTAATAACTAGATCTGTATATTGATTTTAATGATGAAGTTGGAAAATGTAGAAAATCCTTAGTGAAGTTGCTGAAATGGAAATGCACCTTGTTGTATTTGTTTCCATTGAACCAGAGTTGAGGATAATAAAAGTAATAATCCTGGACAACACAGGAAGGGTAAATATAACTCTCTTGTGTGAAATTTCAAACTGAAAAAAAGTTCTTTGAAAACCATTTTGTCTATGAGTTAGTGAGAAAAATCCCTGCTACTAGTTTGTAATTATTCTTTTAGAATGGCAAAAAAGCATGGATAGATGTAACTGGCTGAGGAACACACATCTAGGGCCAGCATATCTAGGCTGGTCTTTTGGTGCTGCTACAGAAAGACTAGGATCTCCTGCATTGACTGTCACCTCTGCTATCTGCATGGTTATATGTCAGTGAGATCTCCAGTATAACTGGACTTCCATGTTTTGCTGCTGAATTGAGGTTGCGATGTCTTTACTGGCTGGATTTAGCACCTCTAACAGTCTCTGACATATGAAAACAGTATCATTCATCTGGAAGAGCAAAAGTATTTACTAATACATACAGTTTCCATGTAACTAATACTCCTTTAGATTGGAATAAATGAGAGTTGGAGATGATAGTGCCTTACCAGTCACCACAGAAGAAATGTTTGAAGGTTCTCCCAGAACAGTTGTGTAAAGGGATTGCCTGTTTAGCCACAATTAGAATTTCAATGGAGGTTAATAGTGTCTAAGAAGATCCCATGAAAGTACACGTAGGTATCTGGTTGTGTTTCCAGTTGATGGACAGGGGCTCATGGTGTGCAGTAGACCAGCATCTGTAAGCAAAAAGTCCAGTTATGTGTACAAATGCATTCATTGAACATTGGCATTTTACTGGGAATCTCTAGATGTGTCTGTAGTATCTGTTTTAACTTTAGAGAATTTTCTGCTTAACCTTTTAATATGTCTGTAGTGAATTCAAACCTCCCAAACTAAAGTCTTGTTACCCATTGTTGGTTATATTGTCAGATCTTGACACTGCTGTTTTCATTCATAAGTGGATTCTTGCTTTGCGTGCTAAAGCAGTTGCTTTGAATAAACATTCTGTGTACATTAAGCTGCTTAACAGACAGTAAGTCACAGGCACTGGATAGGGTCTGCTGTGACCAAGTACTTCACATTGGTTGAACACTCCGTCTTCTCTTTGTTCCAAGTCAGCTGTTCTGGGACAGGGAGGTGCAGATACTTGTTATGAAAAACAGTTTCATTTTGGTGATGATTCTTGAAGATCAGAATGTGGAAGAGGAAGGAGGCGCATTGTTTTTCAGTCTCTCAGTTATTTTTAGTTTGGAGAAAGCTGGAATGAGATCCCAGCATTAATTTCTCGCTGGAGAAAGTTCTGTGGAGCCTTGACCATGTGCTGATTCTAAGGGGCACTGTATTGTCTTCTGGTCTCTAAAGGAAACTCTGGCATTAACCCTTCTTCATGGACCTCCTTCAATGGGACTTTTGGAGGGGATGGAAAGAGAGTTAAAATGAAGAAAGAACTATACAATATAGCTCAGCTTCTATATTAACTATATAGAAGAAAAGGTAGTATGTAAACAGTCTAATTACACCATAATTTCATCAATGTAACTGTAATGTAGGTTCAGAACTGCCATCAGTAGTTCTCTCCCTCTAATGAGACTCCAGGTCAATCCTGGCATTTCCTCTGATGCTCCTTCTTGAGAGAATTATCCAGCTAACAAAACCACCACGTTTTTTTGTTCTCATGGCATCAGACTCTGGGAACTTGCTAGTATCCATTCCTTAGATTTTTATTGTGGAAAGAAATTTTATATATCAGGTAGTTGTTCCTTTTCTAAGTGCACTGTGTGTTGAGAATATGTGAAGTTTTGAATTGTGCATAACTTCTTTAATCAGTTCCCTGGTTTGCAGTTTGGGAAACAGGAAAATAAGTGTTTGGCCTGATTAGTATGTGGTTGAGGAAAAGGAGTTCAAAAAAGCATTCAGTAGTGCAATATCTACAGGTAACTACATGGGAAGTCTTCTCATCACAGGTCTGGAAGTGCTGGCACTACTGCTCTGGTGTGAAGGACAGGCACATCCTCAGAGATGGTGTGCACAGATGTGTAAAATAAGCTTTTCATTCCCTGTGTCATAAAGAACTGATAATCTAACTGGCACTTTCTGGTCAGACCTCTATCAAGGGTTGCAACTCAGCTACTGCCCAGCTGACCTAGACATGGAGTATGTATTTACAAGTGCATAGTGCAGGCATCATAGTTTTGTAGATTTGTTAAGCCACTAAAAATCCTACAGCCGCCTCAGACTGAAGATGCTTTTAACTATTTTGCAAGCTAAAAAATAAAGTTTTATCTTTGCATAATCCACAGTTTTTATGACTTTTATTTTCAGTATCTTTGACATAATGCTGTATAGCATGTTAGTACGTTCAAGTAATGTCAGTGTTATTTAAGATCCATATATTTATATGTTACTCTGCTAGCCGGTTCATGTCTCTGGAATTTTTGTATTTTTGCTTCCTTGGTACTTGACTTCTCTTTCTCTTCCAGAACTATTATGGAGCTGCCAAAATGATTCTTTCTGACAATCCACTTGGCCTGACATGTGGGATGGTGTGTCCAACATCAGATCTCTGTGTTGGTGGCTGCAATTTGTATGCCACTGAGGAGGGACCAATTAATATTGGTGGATTGCAGCAGTTTGCTACCGAGGTGGGTAGGACTTTCAAATGTCTTAAATTCTTTGTATGTACCATTGAGTATTGCCTAAGTGGCTGCCTTTGATAATGAATTGTTTTAAAAAAGTTGATACTAATAAAATAAAGGTGTAGGAAGTTAGAATAATTATCCCTTTTCTTACAGCACATTCAAAAGCTTCAAAATGCTTTCATAATGCACTATATTATAGGAACATAAGGAACATTATTTGTGAACATGATGATTCTTTAGAAATGCTGGTAGTTGAGGCAATTTGTTTTATAATGAAAGATTTATCTGAGCCAGGTGAAATTGTGGATGTTACTGAAGTAGGCTGCATAGGGGAAAAGATCAAGTGCACCTGCATCTGTAACTGCATATTAAGGAGATGTAGAACTGTTCTGGGCATAGGGTAGATCCTATAGCAGAATTAATGTGTGTTTGTACTGGCTTTGGGACAAAGGATAGGTTTCAGATGATTTTGCCTTTTTTAATGTCCTGATTTGCTAAAACTATGTAAATGCATGGTTTCACATTGACCTAAACTTTGTCTGTGTACATCAATCTAGATAGATACAGATGCACATACATGTGTATGTGTAAATGTATTGGTTCATAAAGGTAGGTGCATGTTTTGGCTACTGAAGAACAGGTTGTTACTTGCTGCTTCATACTAGGAAGTCTTATCAGGAGTTTCTGTTGAGATTCTTGTGCATTGTTTGTGATTATGTAGTCTCAATGCTCCAATTTCTATCTGAAGAAAGTGTCTATTGTACATTTGTTAAATTCTTTTGAGACCATGGTGAATTTGTACCAAACTCATGGTCTCAGTTGAGACCTCATCTGATCTATCTGAATAACCTTTGGGTAAAAACTGTGATTTTTTTGGTCTCTGTGTAAGTGAGGAAGTTGTGACTATATTAAAAAAGCATATGCATGTATTAAGATTGCACAATTCTATACAGTCCTTTACTAATGAGCATGTCCCTCTTCTGTGTCTTGAGCTCTTTGGCTGATCATATTTACAAACACACCATGAAGTTCCAGTCACCTTTACAAAGCCTGAGAAAAAAACACCAATTTTGTACAACAGACCGAAATAGAAATGCAAGTTAATCTGGAAGTAACAGATGATGTCTGTAAGGCAAATTTTTTCCACTGCTGTCATTCGTATACTTCCCACCCTCTTCTCAATGGCTGTAGGTCATGATTCAGTGAGCAAACGTTGCTACCTGCTGCAGCTGTTCTCCTTTTATGTGTTTGTATCCCTCCTTTCTTCTCTCTAGGAGAATTATAAGTCTTCTAGAGCATCTGCTAAACTTTTCTGCTAGATGTTGCTGAACCTTTCTTGCTCTATGGCATTTAAGTAGCTATCCACTTCAGTTTTCTTGAGATTTGAACACACAAGTGTAAGAATCAGGATTGTTTAGACCAAAATTCTCATTTACAGGATGAAACTAGCGACACTGAACTGTATTTGTTCTATGTGTATATTCAGTAGTTGGGTTTTACCAGTCAAGAGGCAATTTTAATACCTTTTCTTCTAATGGCCTTTATTCCATACATGTAAATAGTATTTGTTGCCTAGCAGAAGGATTCTTTTTTCCTTAAAACCCCACAAAACCAAACACAAAAAAACCAAATCAACCAACCAAAAGATTAAGCAGTTGTCAAGGAGATGATAAATACAATGGTGAAATATTACTGTTTAGGAACCAAATGCAAGTAATATCTGTTGAAACTTGATTTGTGTCTCCTTTTAGTCCTAATACTATGATTAATAGAGAGGAATTATGGCCTGATAGATAATGCTAAATATCTGCCATTTTTCTTCAAAAATCTTTAGAAATCTATTAAAAAAGCTCAGTGCTAGCATAATGATTGATATGAAAACTGCAGAGAGGATGAATAGCTCTGAATCATTTTGCTCCTAATGTTTCAAGTTTGTTCAAAATTATATTGGTTTCAAGAGTTCTAGAAGAATAAAATTGTTATACGGTTCTATGTAGCACTGTAACAAAACTAATCTTTAATTGAACTTTATTATCCGTAGTATTTTATAGTATCTATATCTCTATATATCTAGTATATATAAAATTTAAAGAAAAGTTAACAAATTGGTTATTAATAACCTTTAGATTTACTGCTGTTTATCAAATAGTTTGTATGTGTTGTATTGCTCTTAATTAGTATTAATAGGTGGTCACTTTTGCAATTAGTACTTTTTTGCCTTTTTTTCAGTAAAATTTTACCATGAAAATGTGTAGCTGAAAAAAAATAATTGTACGAATGCTTCCAAGTAACAGTCATTATAAAAATACAGATTATAATACTGAAGGAAATCATAAGGTACTACCACTTCTACAAAAATTGGCCCAGATACTATAAGTGAAATGTGTTCACTCTACCTATATGAGTAACTTAGCAAATTGTGTAATTGAGGCGTGCAACATGTGCTACTCCTAATGAGAGCTGCATGGTAATTCTCATGCATGGTGTAGTATTTGTCCCATAGGGGCTTATTTACTGAAAACTCCATTGTGCATGAAGCCAGTTTTAGACTTTTTTTCCCTTGGAATTAGTCAGAGGATCATACACTTGATGCATTACGAGAGTGAGCGATAATAAAAAAGCACAACTGCTAGCTGAGATAAAAGATAAAATTGCAGTAAAGTAGGAATGTGGGTTTAAAATGGAAAATATATGGCTATGACGTATGGCTGTTTGTGCTTCTGAACAATGACTGATCATCTGTTCATACTGCAGATAAAGCTCTCTAATTGTAAAATATTTGTCTTGCATACGATAGAACAAAAAAAAAAGGCACCTCATATCTCCTGCATTTTCCTTCTGCCCTTTCGTATAGTTTTGTAACTATATTTGGCTCATTCTCAAAGTGAATTGTAATCCAGTGTGAGAAGATGTGAATTTTGACAATTAAATGTTCAAGTGGAAAAAGGGAAATGTCCGTTTGTATTTGTGATGTAGAATGTGTATACTGGGATGCAGTTACCATGGTAACTGTTGCATCTAGAGAATAACACAGAGTAAAAGCTCACTATTATAAATGACGAGTGTCAAGCTCAGGTTACACCTGCTACTGCACAGGTCAAAATTATATTAATGTCTTTATCTGTCTCCTTTGCCCAAGTACTTCAGAATCAGAAAACATCTGTTTTTTGGAACACAAGTTCAGTGAAAATATACTGAGATTGCAGTGACAATACAGAGAAGCATGAGCTATATGGCTGTCAGTCCCACAAAATAAACTAAAATCTCTGGTTAGTCCAGTACAAGTTTGTAAGCTTGTAGTAAAAAGGAAGTGAGACCTATTACATTTTCTGCTATAGTATTAGTAAGAAACCCTCAAAATATTACATTTTTGGGTAGACATTACTGAATCTAAAGTTTCTCTTTTGTTTCTATTTAATCATTCTGAATGGAGGAGTACAAGCTGAATAGAAAATGTATTCTTTTAATCGCTGCATACTAGATATAAACACTTGATCTTTTGGTACTGTGGCTCATGTGCCAGCTACAGTTCTGGTGATTTGTTCCTCTCTGGAGATATATTCTCACTGCTGTTGCAGCAGAAAGAAGTTGGAAAAGGAAATTTGACCTTTTTTACCTAAAAGAGGCAAGGTATGAGCTTACCTGCTGCTAACCTAGGGACATCTCAGCAGAGAACCTGGTCTGGGAGGTGGGCTGTGGTGAGAGTCCTCCTCTGAGTGCTGAACCTCCTTTCCCCAACCCCACCATGGTCAAGGAAGCAACTGCTGCCCAGAGGGATTGCCATGGAGCAGTGCACTGTGCCCTTGGGCTCAGGGTCCCTCTTTTACTTGCATATTGATCTCTGGTCAGTCTTAAGGTAGGTGCAGGGAGAAGGTGGTTCTCATGGAGCTGTCTCTCCTGCAGCTGGATGGCCTTGAGATAGCTCTCTGGTACACATACATGTGCTGCGTCAGCAGAGGATTGTTCTATGGAGCAAGACAGCAGGGTAAATAGAAAAAAAAGCCCTCTATTTGCTGTGTTACTTTTAATTTTAACACATTTTTAGGTTATTTTATCTTTTAAGTCATGTTGAATTCCATAGTAATAATAAATGAGATTTTAGGCTTGTCTGAAGGGGATGGTGTAGCTGTCTACAATAGTTTAGGGGATGAATCTGATTTCTCAGGCCAATCCTGAAAGATTTGCTGGTATTTGGGCAAGTTATATAAACTTCTCTACAGCATGTTTTATAGATATTGAACATTCTTTGCTTTTTTAAGTCATTTGCATATATGCTGCTATGATTTAGTGGTGGGAGTCATGAAACATTAAGGTTTGGACTCTACAGTTTCCTAGATCCATAGGGTCTTTTGGGACTAGGATAACGTTAATGTGTTTTGTCAGCAAGTTTTGTCATCCCTCACCTACTTGCATAAAAGTTTGAAGTATTGCAACTTTGGTGCTTTAATTGTGGAGGGAGGATCAGCAAGTTTTCATAACTAACTCATGTTTGTGGAAAAAAAAATCCTGTACATCCTGTGCTATCCATAGCAATTAAATGAAATTAATTGGGTGATCATATAATTTGACAGCTTCAAGAAGATTACTGAGCATGCAATTTGCTTAATTTTGTATTAAAATCTGTGCAGAATATTTTCTTCTTTAAAGATTCAACTGCCCCATATAAATGTAAGCCAGCCTACAGATAAATATCCATGGAAACCAGTGGGAAAGTGTGAAATTAATAAAACCAGTTCCTAAATGTTATTGATTTCATTGCCTGTATTTTTCTGTCTGTGCACTAGCAAAATCTGATAACTCAGAATACACTAATATATTTTAAACTAAAATAAATCCCAGCTAGATTATAATGTCTACATCAGTAGCTGTTTGGTATCTCATCATTTTAGTGAAGGATATTTAAAGGCAAATCTGAGTGATAAACTTATTTCTATAGCCTTTTAAGCACGGAAGCAAGTGTTATGCCTGAAGAATGTAAAGTATTTAGTTATGAAGTCAAAACTTACATTACTAAAAATAATTTTTTTCCACTGCTCCTTCCATTTCCCCATTCTTTTTCATCCTTTTTCTGTTGATGAAGATGACAGAATAAACATGCACCTTTTACTAAGAAGCGTGTCCTTCTGTGAATGTCTTGGAGACTATCAAGTATGTTTTGATAGTCTGGTTTCATAGCGTTAAGCAAAGGTTTTTTGGCTTTTTGACATTTTAACATTGAGGTTAAAATTGAATCAATTTACTGTTTTATTTAATAAATTATTTGTCATTCTCCAAAAAAAATTTTAAACAGTCATAAAATAATAGAATGAGTCGGGTGGGAGGGGACTTTTAATGTCATCTAATTCTAACCCTGCTGCTGTGGGCAGGGACACTTTCCATTAGACCAGATTGCTCAAAGTCCCATCTAGCCTAGCCTTGAGCACCTCTGGGGATCATAGAATCATTAGTGTTGACTAAGGTCTCCCAGATCATCAAGTCCAACCTTTGATCAAACACCATAAACCCTATGGTTTATGTGCCATGTCTAGTCATTTCTGGAACACTTCCAGGGATGGTGACTCCACCACATCCCTGGGCAGTCCATTCCAACCCTTTCAGTGAAGAAATTCCCCCTGAACCATCCCTGGTGCAGCTCTTGTTCAGTCACTAGTTTTCTGGGAGAAGAGACCAACCACAAAATTGTTACAATACTTGTTACCCCAAACCTCCTTTCATGTAGTTGTAGTGAGCAGTAAGGTCTCCCCTGAGCCTTCTTTTCTCCAGACTAAACACCCTGAGCTCCCTCAGCCACTCCACATATGACTTATGATCTAGACCCTTCACCAGCTTTGTTGCCCTTCATTGGACATGCTTCAGCGCCTCAATGTCTTTCTTACAGTGAAGGGCCCAGAACTGGACACAGTACTCAAGGTGTGGCCTCACCAATGACCAGTAAAGAGGGACAATCACTTCCCTAGTCCTGCTGGCCACAGTATTTTTGATATAGGCCAGTTGGCCTTCTTGGCCACCTGGGCACACTGCTGGCTCGTGTCCAGTCACTGTCAACCTGCACGCCCAGGTCCTTTTCTGCTGAGCACCTTTCCAGCCACTCTTCTCCAAGCCTGTAGTGCCACACAGGGTAGTTGTGAAATGGGAGTAAATAATAAATAAATAAAGGTGAATTAGAGTAAAACTGTATGATCATATTTTAATTCTGTAAATAGGTGGAGAAGGGTATCTAAAGTATATTTCTTGTAGAAAAACCCTGATCAGAAAACTCAGAAGTGACTGAAATTATTTACTTTAATTCTAATTTGTATAAATTTTGAAATAGCAATTCTGAGTAACAGTTCTAACCTGCTCTAATGGTTTTAAATGTTTTAGATTAATTTAAATCATGCTTACTATGCCATAAAATGATTTTCATCTGGTTAGCAAAATACATTTCTCTGAGTCACCTGCCACTCTCTGCCAAATGTCACATCTTTTCATCAAAACATGCTAATATGCCTATGGTGAAGTGAAGAAAAGAACCAGAATTTTATTACATGAGGGTAACAATAAGCTTTTCCCTATCTGCATTCTAAAAAAACAGCTAAAATGAGTTGGCTAAAACTTTTCAGGAAAATTAAACTGGAATCAGATGCTCAGCAATTGAAACAACTGTAGTTTGCTTAAGCGGGAAATGTTGTAGAACCTGAATGCAAATTCATGTTTGCATACAGTGCCTGGGATTATGCTCTTTGTTGAGTATACAGAATGTTTTGGAACATGAACCAACCCAACTGCAGTGAAAGGATGTTTTATTTACAAGACAGCAGAGAATAAACTCCCAGATTTCATGCTGTAGAGAACATTGAGCAAGTGCACTCACACCTTTACACATAGAAGTGATGCAAATAGGAAAACTGTAATATGCTATAAATGTCTGAATCAAGCGAGAATTTTTCTCAGTTGTTGGAACTTCGGCAGAATAGATTGGCTGTTTCAGTTTGGTCAAATTGTATCTCACTTGAGGACTAAGTTTCCATATTTTATAAACTGCTGTATCCTTTCTAAGGGCCCTAATGGACATGAAGCATAAGAAGCGAATAGAATCAATGTGGGTGTGGTTTGAATAGGCCCTAGATGATGAAGTAATGATGATTGTGTAGTATTTGATAAAAAGTTGGAGAATAAATGCCCAGTGTTATTAATGTCTGTTATTAATCTATCTAATCTCTTTTGTGTATGAGAGAGAGCCAGAACGGAAGGCAGACATGAGGATGATGGTTAAGTCTTTCAACTGGGAGTCTGAGCTTTAAAATTCATTATTTAATCTCATTTTTTTTGAATGGTTAAAAAGCACTGCAAAACAAAATAGAAACTCCATCCAAACAAAAAAGAAATCATGTGTTTGAAAGGAAAATGGACAAATCTTACCTGCATTCTGAACACAGTCTGCGCAGATTAAAAACAGGACAGTGTTGCATGTAATGTGCCATTGAGCACTCACTTGCAAGTTACCCATCTCTGGCCACCAAAGGATTTATGCAGAAGAATTCAGTGATATTTAATTAGGTGAATTACAATGTAGGGAA